ACCAGAAGTACTGAAGCTATAATCTCTTAAGTAAGGAGATACTGTGCACATAGCATATAATGGAAGGAATTATCTCAGTGTGACTTGTGGATAATAATAAACCAAGCACAGAATCCTCCAGCACCTCTAGGTCAGCACCATGTTTTCCTCAGCATCTCCCCACCACCCTAAATATTATTACATTCCCCAGGATGTCAATCCATCCGCACACTTGAGAGGGGCAGGGCTGGAATAGCTGGGCACATTTTATTTATGCAGAAATGGAAGCCAAGAAAGGTTAAAAATGTTGCACCACGTGACTTCTGTCGATAGTTCTCACCGTTCTACAGAAGCTCGTGAGTCTGCTGCAGCAGTTAATTCTTTTCTGCTTTTCTATCTGTTCTTTTGGCATCATCTTTCCCTCGGGTTTTGCTCAAAGAAATTATTGCCAAGGCCACATGCAGGGCTGATGTAATTTCATGTAGGAGAGTTAACTTTAGAACTTGCAGTTAGATCTTTAATCCATGTTAGCTAGTGTTGCATACGGTGTGTGACAAAGGTCCAGTTTCATCCATTTTGTGTTTATATCCAGTTATCCAAAGCTGATACCTGAAGAGGCTTTCACTGCCCCACTGCATGTCTCTGGCACACACTGGGCTGCCAGCTCACACCTGCGAGGGTGGCTGCCATCCAAAGCATGAGGAGAAGGGCAGAGAGGGTGAGGAGAGGAGGGAACTCTTGTACACTGCAGGAAGGTGAACTGGCTCAGCCATTAGGCAAAACACCATGGAGAGTCCTCAGATATTTAAAAAATAAAACGATGCTGAAACCCAGCAATCTGCTTCTGGGTACACGTGCAAAAGAAATGAAATCAGAAGGATGAAAAGCCATCTGCATCTGTGTGCACTGCAGAGTTCGTCACAACAGCCGCGAGATGCTGAGTGTTCCTCTGCAAAAGTACGGGAGAAGCAGTGATTATTGATGTGAGGAGGCGGATTCTGCACTCTGGCAGCAGATGGACTGGGAGGAACTTACGCTGAGTGAACATGGTGTCCTGTGTGTACAATGTCACTTAAAAGTAGAATCAAAAAACGTCAGACTCAAGTAGAGGCTTCGAACTGTGGCTTCCAGAGGATGAGGGATTGGAGAAAATTAGGTTTTGATCAGAGGACACACAGTGTCATGAAATGATAATCAAATTCTGGACATCTGACACGCCGCATGGGCGGGATGGATGTGCTAGTTAATTTGGTTTGGACACAATCCTTACACCGTGTACCTCTGTGTCCAGTAGTCATGCTGCACACTTGGAGCTGTCAGTGAAACATTTTAAAATAAATGAAGCAGGTATTTGGTTCTCCCTTCCAGCAGCCTGTGCCTTGAGGGCTGGTTAGAGGGGGAAGAAAACCTCACAGAAAATGTACTGAATCAACATATTTCTATAAGGGGCCGGTCCTGGTAATGATAAGAGAGAACACCTCCCACAGCAATGGTTAGGAGGTCATTATTAAACAGTCTTTGCCATGGCTGCTTTGCAGGGCACCAGCAAGGATCCCCAGTGCAAGTGGAAGAGGAGGAGGGTGGATCATCCGGTAGACACAAGCACCAGGGGGTCCCAGGAAGGGCTGTGATAAGGTGGAGCTGGCTGCACCCTAGAAACTCATGGGCGGGTTTGTCTGGGGCTGATCTGAAGAATGGCTCTCTTGCTCCCTGAAGATGATACCAGGACTTCATTTGCGAGGGTGAGAAGGAAGGGCAGCAGACAGGAAACGGGGAGCATAAGAAGCTTTCGGCTCCAGGACGGCATCCACTGTGACACCCTCGCCCCTCACACACCAAACACAGAGAAGTTGTCTCACCTCGTGTACACACACATGGTGCATGCACCCCAGGGCTGCACTTCTGTGCATCTGGTTCCATCACCATGATTGCTACCCATATTCCATCCTTCCAGCCAGACGACACCTCCTAGCACAAGACAGGTATGTTTTTGCTCCCCTCGGTCATCCGGCATGGCTTTCCCTCTGTTGATATCCAGTGGTGGTTTTGAACCTGAATTTCAGATAAAGAAAACAGGCCAGCACAGTCAGGAGTGAGGTGCAGTATGGCAATGTGGCCGTATTGAGATCTGGCTCCTTCCTCCATTAGTAGCAGAGCATTCTGCTGCTCCTTAAGCAACAAAGCATAACCTCTACTGGCGCCTGTCAGGTGGGATGTACATTCTACGGCAAGTACCACAAAAGTCTTCTTATATTCCAGCTCAATGTGAGCATACTATTACATGTCCGGAAGGGACAGGAATTCACATACCCCAACTGCCCTCAATTTCCTAGGCTAATTGTACTGATTAACAAGGGACTGAGCCAGGATTGTGGTTTCTAGCTCAGACATCTCATTCTGAATATGCTTTGATATCACTTTCTTGTTTTATATCACATGAGATTTCACACATATTTGCAGCTCTTGATCTTCTTTGCAATTTTTCAAACTGGGTTTGAATCACTAAAGGAAATCTGTAGCTCATAAACTAACCAAACTATTGCATACAGACTATGCACACACCATTCTGCTTCATTCATGTTCAGTTGGCCATTAAATCCTGATGATCTTGGGGCAGCTGCTTCTGCCCACAGACTTTACCTCATCCATCCTGTGTTCCACACAGAACTTCTGCTATCAGCCAAGTGAGTGAGCAGTTTTTGTACCCCAGGCCCTTTTCTGCTTCCTTGGTGGCAGGACCTTTGTCAGCACCCAGACCCCCAGTGAAAAGATCAGTGGGCTCAGTCAGGAACAAAGTGTGAACTGTGGGTGACCAGCCCTTGAGTTAACAGGCAGCAGGGGCCTCCTGGTCACATGCTGATGGCGATGCCAGAAGGGAGAGGCAGAGGCGGGTGGACAATTCTCAATGATTTTTGGCTCCTCAAAGGCACCCTGCCCATTTCTTTGGAAACAAAAATCCAAATTTCACCCAGATTCTATAGGGAAGCCTCTGCCATGACCAGGTACCAGACCTAACTCCATCCCACTGTCCAGCTACAGAAACTGCTGACCATGATAGTCCAAGCTCATTCAGTGATGTGCTTTCAATGCATGTTCAGGTTTTGTATATCAATTAAACCTTAATAAAACCTCATAAAAAGAGGCACACAACCAAAGGATCGCTAGTAACTGTAATGTCCCCCTTTTCCCCAGTGGGGATGTGTTCAGGAATAGAACCATTAGATAAGCTGATCCGGAGGGGAAGAAAAATTTCCCAGGACTGTGGCAGTAGTTATCAGATGCAAAAATTCATTACTTTGGAGCAACCCAAAAAATAAAGAAAAATTCTTCCTTTACTGTAAACAGTTTGAATAGAGCTTTTAAATATGTGTACTTAGAGGGGAGCCAGTTAGAGCAGCTGTCCAGGTGGAACCTTCCAAGGGAGCTCCTGCGGAGGGGAATGGTTATGAGGAGGAACAGCGCCCTGGACGACATGATATGGAAAGCCTGCTTCTTCAGCAAATTTGCAGTAGGCAACAGCACCTCTGGGCGGGGACTTCCTGGCACAGAGCAGTGACAGAGGCAGCAGGGCCAGGCTGCTTCATTGTGGACAGTATGAACCTGGTCACATGGCCTGACCCATAGAGAGGAAGCCACATCTGAAGCCCAAGGTGGAGAGCTAAGCCCTGCTCAGGAGACTTCTCACAACAAAGAGCAACTTCCCCTGGGCCTGGGACAGCGGATGCCTCTCCATCCCGTTCTCATGTAGACAGCACAGCCCCATGCAGCTAACTGAGCTTCATAAACCTGTTCTCCTCAACACTGGCAGAGGGCCTGGGGGAGAGAAAGTGGCTTTTTGCTCTAAGAAGGTTCCATCTGTAAGAAAATGCTCGGGCCTTGAGGCCCTAAGATTCAGTGACATAAATCAGAAACACAGACTCCAATGTCATATGGTTTCTCTTCCATGAGCAACTGGAAGTATAGATACGTTAAGAACCTGAATAAAAGGCAGATGTAGGAAACAGGGGCATGGATGCTCTGCAGATGGGGAAGGGACCTAAAGATGGGGGAGGGGGAACGAGGAGAGGGGAGGCAGCAGGAATTAAGATGTGCCACGCACGGGTACCAAGTCCCCGAGATGAACAGTGCAATCCTCTCAATACTGCAAAAATGTACTAATAAAAATAAAATATAAGGTCCTGGCTAGTTGGTTTCTCATTCGAGAGGACCCAGAGAATGCACTCACTGAGCCCCTGTACCTAGCTATCCAGATCAGCAAGAGAGAGGGCTGAGGAAGGCCAGCTTTCGGGTGTAGACAGAGAGCACACCTTCAATAAAGTTTTACTAAATGAACAATGCATAAAGTTTAAACTGACTTCCCTTGCATCAACCAAGGAAGCTGACCCACTGGGCAGAAAGAAGAGAGCTGTACTTTTTTTACTCTGAAGCAGCTTTGCAGATTTTGCTATAAATATTGCCTCTAGCTGGCGTCTGTTTCAGTAAACAAATGGCTGAGTAGAGGAGTCTGGGAAAAGTGGGAAGGGTGGACACGGCAGGCTGAGCCACTGCCAGGTGTGTATCTGTCCCCAGGTGGGTTAATTAGGTCATAAGAGGAGACGGATAGAGCTCAGTTACCCAGTCCAACATGCTCACCCAAGCCCTCACCAATCTTGCTGTCACCAGCAAGGCCACGAAAACGCTACAAAACTGATTCTCCCAAACGCAAGGCAGAGCCTTGCTAAATTCTGCACTGCTATTTAAGCTAGTGAAATCCATGAAATATTTGAGACATACTTATGCTAAAATTGTGTTCATTGTTTTTCTGAATTCTGAATTTCGCCAGCCATCCTGTGTTTTACCTGGGTACTTCAGCAGAAAAGTAAATGCTCCTGGGCCTCTAGAGGTATCCATTGTTCAGAGGCAGAAGCCACACAGATTAGGAAACCTTGGAAAATACAAGGGGGAAATTAGATTGGAGAGACTCAGAGCTGATGCAGTAATGATTGTTTGGAAATTTAATCAAGAAAGATTTCTGGGGAAGAAAGACTAGAGTCAAGAAAGCAATTACTGTTCCTGCCCTGAATTGTGCCTCTTGGTCCAGGGAGCCAACAGAAAATCAAATATTGCTTCCAGGTGGCTAAAGTCAAAGGAAAATCTATGCCACAGCTCTGGTCCTACTATATGCTCTGAGTAGCAAGCAAAGAATTTTTTTTATTAACATTTTCATAAATATTTAAATCTGTGCACCCGACTGCCAATGAGGACCCCTAAACAGACAGTCAGGACTTCCGAGCCAACTCTGCGATTCTCCCAGGAGGTGTTTTATTTTCTCTTCACCCAGAAAATTAAGCAAACATCTGAAATGAGCCGCAAAGTTAGACCAAGATATAAATAATTCACAAAGAGATTAATGGGCTCCGGACTGGAGCACACATCAGGACTCCTGCTCCCGCCCGCGCCAGCTGCATTTCTTCTCTCTGTTTCTTTCTTCCCAGCGTCAACTAGGAAGCTCCAGGCAGTCCACACGGCCCTCTTCCTCACAACGCACCTCGTCTGTCTTCCTTAATGAGGAGCAAGAGATGCCTTTGAGAGCCCTGCAAGCAGACAAGATGGGTGCTTCCTTCCCTGGACAGGTCTCAAGTAGGAAGGACCTGGGTGACCTGGTCCCAGAGTGAGGAGACTGGGTCCTGTGTGTGTCTTTGCAGGCAAACCTGAGCAACCTGGAGGCCATCCATGTGCTCGGCTGGTTCAGGGTTTTTCCTGGCTGGGGTAGAGAAGAGGCTGAAGAGCTGATTGCGGTGTGTAGTGGACAGACAGGAAATGGTACAGGACATGATATCGAGGGAGCCTATGTCCTCAGCAATGTACCCAGGATGAGAACAAAAAGCAGGTTCATCTTACCCCACATCCCCCATGCTGGGACATTGCAAGGTCCTGGAATTATGATGAGGGACCCCGGAAAGGAATCCTGTAATGAGTGAGAGAGTCAGGGTAAGACTGCTAATTACAAAGTACTTCCTCTCTTCCAGAGCTGGTGACAGAATCAAAGCTTTAGAATGCAAAATTAAACAAGACACGGTGCCCAGCCTCCAGAGATAGCACGGAGGAGGCCAGTGACTACTAGATCATATTATGGTGGACTTGGAGCTATGGTCCATGCAAGGCAAGTGAGAAGCGCTCTTTGGCCACTCAGAAGCAGTTACAGAGAAGCACATGAGTGCAGCTTATAGTCAGAAGGGACTTCTCCATGGGGAAGAAGGTTTTTGTTGGGCTGGGAAAATAATTACGAAGAAGTCACGCAGAGGGGTGGATGTGCAAGGGGCTGAGGACTATTCCAGGCAGCAGGCACATTCGTGCAGGTGAAGACGGTGCCGGGGGGGGGGCCAGCCTGACTTCAGGGGACCCCGCCATGACCTCGTGCTTGGGCTATGGTGGGGCACAGTCCAGTCCTCACCCATGGGATGGAGCTGCTGGCCATGGGCTGGAAGAAGGAGGCCAAGGACTGCACACTTCTCTGTGATGGCAGGGAAGAGTTTGGCCAGACCAGCAAGGCTGTGGAGAATGATCTGGGGCTCGTGGAGCCAGGGGAGCTGTTAAGTGGCCCAGCCAGGACACAGCACCTGTGTCCAGTCGACCGAGTGGAACCCCAAAGACAGTGAGCACAGCAATGGTCTCTCCTGGTTCTCAGGGAATCTGTCTACTGTGCTGCTAACTGCTGGCCTTATGCCTGGAAATCTGTGTTGGGCAGGGAAAGCGGGTCCTAAAGGGGTTTTCCCTACACCTTCCAGCATTAAATTACACGGACTGGGAACAATATGGCTGCAGGCGACTCCTAGAATTCCTACTAACTGTGACTTAAGGCAGGGACAGTCATTCTGTTCTTATTAGAAAATCTGGAGGTGGGAATCAACCCTGGCCCAGGGAGTCTGTCCATCACTGTCTTCCCAAGGCACCCACAGGTGGGGTGTGCTGTCCTGTACACCAGTGATGCACACATGTGGCATCCAGAGAGAGGAAAAGGCTTTGGAAAACAAACTGCAGGGAAGAGGATGCACTTTTGTCATAGCAACAAGGGGACAAATGAGCCCCAACTGTTTCCAGCCTTTGCAAAGCAGGGTTCAAGTGTCTGAGGAATCCTAGTGAATGGCCCTGATTATTCACTGCCTCCTTCTTTAGCCAAGAGAGCTCTGTGATGCCCACCCACAAAGACCTTTGGGGAATTAGCAGATACCTGTGGAGGTGCTCTCCTCCCACATCCATCCATGGGACAGGGTAGCTGCTCTGGAGGTCCTTCTGCTGTCTTTCTCTCATGCAGCATTGTGAAGCAACAGGTCACATGTCACTGCAGGACCAATCATTAGGAAAGGGAACGGCACTGACAGAAGGGCTTCATCCAATCACAGCTCATCTCCCAGAACCTCACTGCCTGCTTAGAGATGAGCAAGACAATCCCAGGCCTTGACAACTATCATCATGGCCCCCAGCATGGGGCACCTGCAGCATGGGGCACAGTGTCAGAAAGAAAGCTGCATAGCCTCAGTTTCCATGAGGACCCAGGAGCCACCCCCCAACCCCACATCAGGACTCAATACTGTTTTTCTATCAGAGGCGCAGCCAGGAGGCGAAGGGAAGCGGCTTCTGCAGGGCACCCCACAGCAGCAGGGATCATTTCCTCCAGCTTGCATTGCCCCTGGGGCTATAGAAAGCAGTGCTTTCAAGGAGCATTTCAATTTTTCTTTTAAAATCCCATTTTCACCTTTTCCTACCTGAAATGGTCTCCTGCCTTTGCTGATTAGATGGATTCTATTCAGATCCTCTTTGAGAAGTAGGAAAACAAACCCAACAAAATACAAGTGTGGAACAGGCCCAACGATATATGCATAGCCACCTGGAGGACACCCAAGCACTGTCTCTATGAAAGAAAGTGGTCAGCAAATCTCTGAGGTTGTGCAAAATCTTCAACTGAGAAACTCCAGTCTAAAATGCTACCCTAGAGATGACTGGGCAGGGATTTAAGCATTTGCTCTGATTTCATTGTGTTCCTGCTCTACTGATGCTTTGGATAAATACTCTTTTAACTCAACTTGACTCAGAAAGACAAGCTAGAGTAACAGCATAGTTGTTGGAAATCATTGCAAAAATAAGAGCTGTTCTGAAACCTGTAATTTTGGGGCTGACAGGCAAAGCAGAAGTCATTTACTGATGGAATTGTGGAGCTGAAGTTTCTGAAGAAATGTGCTCATGCTCATCCTGAGATTCAGGAACTAGGCTGGATTGGTTGTATCTTCCAGGAACCAACTGATCTTCGATGGATCCAGAGAGAAATGCTTCATTCTTGAATCAACACTATAATGTATTTTCTCCTTAAATGAAACATAAATTTGTCACAGTATCCTATGCCACATGCTCCCTAATGGAAATTCCTTGAGACAGATACATTTTTTCATTGTTAGAATGAGCATTATTAGGTCAGTGAACACATAATTCTTTCTGGAGTTTCCCAAAAACCTATGGAGCTATTTGAGGCACTGTTCCATGTTAGCTGGAGGCTCCTGAGCTCCCTCTCAGGCAAGTGAAAGAATCACGGATCCTCCTTAGTTCTGGAATTCCTTCCTGTTAAGCTGGTCTCCAAGGTAACTTCTTTTCTGAAGGTGGGAGCTCACCCAAAGGCTGCAGGTACTGGCTGATGCCTCACTGGTCAGCACCCTGGCAGCAGGTCTGATGGACAATGAATGCATCACGCCTGAATTCCTGACCTCGAGTCAAAGGCAGAGGAAACATCAGCCCTCATCACTGCGGTTATGTAGCTGCTTCCCCAGAGTACAGTAAGTCTTTCTTTTATATCATATAAAGTAAGTAAACAACTATAGGACCATTTCAGCTACTTCAAGGTTTCTAATCAAAAGGTGATCTAAAATCTATGTTCCATTATTGCTCAGAGACTGGGAGACCAGCAGTCAACTGCCCTAGAGCAGACTCTGCGACACACTCTTCCTGCAGGGAGGGCCCTGTCTCCACAGGGACCTCAGGGGAGCACCAGGAAGTGGTGAGATAAAGAAGCAGGGCTCGGGTCCCAGCCCTCTCTCCCCCAGGTGCTATGGGAGGTGATGGCCAGGCAAGAAGCAGATTAGCACTGGGAGATTGACTGGCTCTCTGGATTCCTTGGGCTCCTTGGTGGAAGGCTGTCTCTGGCTTTCTGCATCCTGGTCCAGGGACACTGAGTGCAGGCCCAGTGCCCCTGAATGCAAGAGCTCCCCAAAGATGAGGATGCAAGGGTGAATACATGATTAGTTGGTTTGTGAGGGAAAGGGTGCAGTCCTTTGCTATCATGAGGAAGCATCCTGGGAGGGAAAGATGTCAAAGCCTAGGAATAGGCTGCAGGATGGTTAGGAAGGGGGCCTCACCCGGTGAGTGGAGGAGAGGGCTGCTCCTCCTGCCCTACAGCTGTGGAGGGCATCCCATGCACTCCCACCCTCTCAATGCAGAACACAGAGGTGGGGGCAGCTGACACTCAAGTTTACCTCAGCCCCCGAACTCTGCACATGCCCACCTGGCTGATTGCATTATCTGGAGCCGGAAAGTGGCTTTCTGTACCTATTAAACTCTCTGTGTTGGGCTGGTCACAGGGTCACAGATGTGCTGTTTTCCAGGCACTGAGGTTTACTGGTTGGGCCAGGAAAAATGCCCACTGAAGAACTGCTGGCCTCAGGCTCCTGGGCCCTTCACGTCCTTGTCTTAAGCAGTGTAGGAATAAATCTGAACATGGACATGGTTGTGGTAGAGATCCCGTCCTTCTCCTCTGCGTTCCTGACCTGGAACATCTCAGGCACTTCTCCAGTGTCAGTGTCCACTCTGCTATTTTTCTCATTGCTAGGATGAGCATTATCAGGTCAGTGAATGGGTCACATTGGTGTGTAATTTTTCCTAGGTCTTCTGGTGGCCAGGACCCATGTCCCGCTGTCTTCACCTGGGAACAGATGGGAACTGTGTCTGCCGCTGGGAATGAGCAGACAATTCTATCAGGTTGACCAGACACTGAGTATTTGGAACCAGCTGTCATAAGGGTGGGTAAAAATAAAAAGAAAAAGAAAAATTATGGGAGCGTGCATTATCAAAACAAGGGCACAACATGTTCTTCCCAATCTTTGGAGAGCATTTGCTTATTTATGCTCCCCCTTTGGGTCTGAGGGCACTCACATAATGGTCTTAATGGATGGGATGTGTCAGAAGTCAGATTGTGGAACAATCAATTTTAGCAAAGCAAAGGCAACAGATCTTACACCTGGTCTTTTTAGGACATTCACAGTATGAGTCCAGCCACCACACATGGAGGAAACCAAGCAGCCCCAGGGAAAGATCCAGATGAGGCTGGGAGCTGCCAGCACCATCCCCGGAATGTTTGCGAGGGAGCCTGTGAGTGACTCCACCCAGCCTGTCAACTCCTGGTGGAGGAGCACTGGGAGACCAAATTCCCTTCAATCCCTTCCATCTGGATCAGCCCAAAGGAAGTGTCCAGGAGGAGGGCGATCACTGCCCTTTTAACCCACTGAGTCAGGGACTTTCTTTTCCCATAGGAATATGTGATTCCAAGATAAAAGTCTGTAACATGAGGAACCCGTTCACATTACTGCTATTATTTATTCTAATTAACCAAAAACCTTTCTCCCTCTCCCCAGATCTAAGATAGAAAAGTTCAAAAGTGGAACACAGAGAGGCCCTGCGGCCTGCGGTAAGTGCTCAGTGCACTCTGCCCAAAGCCCAGACTGTTTGGGACCCTCCAGGCTTCCGGGTACAGTGAAGTGGATAAGTGGGTTTGAGGCATCTACCTCTGCCTCCCCATTCCAGCTGCACTTGGAGAACTGTGGAGTTTCCAGCAAGTAGGTGGGCGCACACTATCCCTGGAGCCCAGCCTATTTGGGACTCCTGCACTGCACCATTTGGGTGCAGAGGAAGGGGTGGGCAGATCTGGGGAGCCTGCACCCACCTCCCTGTGTGTCTGAAGGACTGTGGCTATCTCAGCAAGCAGGCAAGCATTGCAGGTTCCAGAGGCTCCAAGGCCTGTGGTAAGTGTTCAGTGCACTCTGCCCCAAGCCCAAACTCTTCGGGACACTCCAGGCTTCCAGATGCAGTGAGGTGTATGAGTGGGTTTGAGGCATCTACATCCACCTCCCCATTCTGGCTGCACTTGGAGATCTGCAGAGCTTCGAGCCAGCAGGTGGGAGCAGTGTCCCTGGAGCCCAGCTTATCTGGAACTACTGAGTTCTAAACAGGAAGAAGAAGGCCATTGGTTCTACAGGCCCAGTGGCTTGGGGGAACTGGGTGCAGAAGTCCCAGGAGCTGCAAACATAGAAGTGGATTTCCACCAGACTCTGAGGAACACTTGAAACACAGAAATATAGGAAAATGACAAAAAGAAAGACTAAATTACAACCTCAAACCTCCAGATCTCAAGAAACCCTAGGTATGATGTATATAGAAGAAAATACATGCCATTCACCTCAAACATCAGACATAATAGCTACTGAAATTAACAAGCAACTCCAGGAAGCTTTAAAGGAACTCAAACTTGAAATAATCACCCAGGTAAAAGAAGAAATGATAAAAGAAATGAAAGAGATTCTGAATATGTCTAAAGAAAACAGTTAAAAAATTGGAGGAACTAAACAAAAAGATAGAATCCCTAGATGAGCAATATAAGAAAATGCAGATGCACAGAGATGTACAAGAAATAAAAAACTCCACTGAAAGTTGCAAAAACCACCTCAATGAATGTGAAGATAGAATTTCAGACCTTGAAGACAGGATTGCACCAAGTGAACAGGAAAGGAAAGATCTTTTAAAAATAACAAGAAATCAGGAAATAACAATTCAACAACTGCAAGGTGATGCAAATAAAAATAACACAAGATTGATAGGTATTAATGAAAAAGACATAAAGGATGTCAAGAGGATATTTAGAGAAGTAATAGTTGAAAATCTCCCAAGCATGAGATCAGAAAGCGACATCATGCTCAGTGAAGCATAGAGAACTCCAAATAGTCATAACCAAAATAAAACTACACCCAGACATATAATAATCACCATCCCAGAAATCCAACACAAGAGTAGATTATTAAAAGTTGTCAGAGAGAAAAGACAGAACACTTATAAAGGAAAACCTATCAGAATCACAGCAGACTTCTCAGCACAAACAATAAAGTCAAGAAGAGCATGGAGTTAAGTAATCCAGATCCTAAAGCAAAATGATTTCCAAACTAGACTGATGTACCCTGCAAAACTATCATTCAAAATTGATGGTGAAATACGATACTTGCATGACAAAGAACAGCTGAAGAATTGATGAACACCAAGCCAACCCTTCCAAAAATATTGAAAGATAGTTTAGATACACAAAGGAAAAAACCACTAAGCAAAGTAGATAATTAAACAGAACAGAAAGAAAAGATGCAACAGCAGAGAGATAACATGTCAACAATAAACCAGCATTTAACAGTAATAACCATTAATGTAAATGGTCTCAATGAACCAATCAAAAGAAACAGACTAGCAGAATGGATCAAGAAACAAAATCCAAACATATGCTGTTTACAGGAAACCCGTCTGACCCACAAGGATACTCACAGACTGAAAGTCAAACGATGGAAAACAATACTTCATGCAGCAGGAATCAAAAAAAAAAAGCAGGAGTAGCCATTCTGTTTGCAGACAACGTGAACTTTAAACCAACAATGACCATAAAGGACAAAAAAGGTCACTACATACTCGTTAGGGGAAAACTCCAAGAGGAAGAGATAACTATCTTAAATATATATGCATCAAACTCCAGATCACCCTGTTAGATAAAACAACTATTAACAGAAATGAAAACTCAAATTATCAGTAACACATTTGTAACAGGAGACCTTTATAAGCCATTGACATCAAGGAACAGATCAACCAAACAGAAAATGAGCAAAGAAATAACAGAACTCAATCACACCTGCGAACAAATGGATTTGATAGACATATACAGAATGTCCCACCCAACAACATCAGAATACACATTCTTCTCAGCAGTACATGGATCATTCTCTAAAATAGACCATATATTAGCTCACAGAACATACTTCAACAAATGGAAAATTGTTAAAATCATCCCTTGCATGTTATCGGATCATAGCGCTCTGAAATTAGAAATTAATGATAAAAGATATTGCAAAAATCCCACAAACACGTGGAAACTGAATAACACAATTTTGAGTAATCAGTGGGTCACAGAAGAAATTAAAGAAGAAATTAAACAATACCTACAAGAAAATGAAAATGCACATACAACTTACCAGAATCTGTGGGATGCAATGAAAGCCATCCTTAGAAGAAAATTTATTGCACTGAGTTCCCACATCAGGAAAACAGAAAGAATACAAATCAATAACTTGATGCTACACCTCAAAAAGCTAGAAAAAGGAGAGCAATTCAAGCCCAAAGCCAAAAGAAGAGAGGAAATTATAAAACTCAGAAGAGAAATCAACGCAGTAGAGACTAAGAAAGCAATCCAAAGAAACAACGAATCAAAGAGTTGGTTCTTTGAAAGAATAAATAAAATCGATAAGCCCCTAGCCAACCTTATTTAAAAAACGGGAAGAAAAAGCTAAAATTCATTTAATAAGAAATGAAAAAGGTGAAATCACTACAGACTCTACAGAAATACAGAAGATCATCAACACCTATTTCGAAAACCTCTACTCTCAAAGGTTTGATAACACAGAAGAAAAGACAGATTCTTAGAAACATATGAAGTACCAAAGCTAGATAAAGAGGATGTAAAACTGCTGAATAACCCAATCTCTGTTAATGAAATTGAAAATGTAACTAAGTCCTTGCCTACATAGAAGAGCCCAGGGCCAGATGGATTCACTGCAGAATTCTACAAGAAATACAAAGAAGACCTAATGCCAACACTTCTCAAACTATTCAATGAAATTGAAAGGGAAGCAATTCTTCCCAAGTCATTCCTGGAAGCAAATATTACTCTAGTACCAAAACCTGAGAAAGACCCAACTAAAAAAGAGAACTATAGACCAATCTCCCTAATGAACACAGATGCAAAAATCCTCAATAAAATATTAGCAAATAGGATGCAGCAAATCATCAAGAAGATTATACACCATGACCAAGTGGGATTCATCCCAGGAATGCAAGGATGGTTCAACATACGTAAATCAATAAATGTAATCCACCATATCAATAAAGCCAAAAGTAAGAATCACAGGATCATTTCTATAAATGCAGAAAAAGCCTTCAATAAGGTCCAACATTCATTCATGATAAGAACTTTACAGAAAATTGGAATAGATGGTCTTTACCTCAATATAATAAAGGCCATTTATGACAAACCAACAGCCAGTATCATATTAAATGGCCAAAAATTGAAAGCCTTTACATTAAAATCAGGCACAAGACAAGGATGTCCTTTATCACCACTCTTATTTAATATAGTACTGGAAGTACTAGCCAGAGCAATTAGACAAGAGAGAGAAATAAAAGGGGTAAAGACAGGAAAAGAAGAAAATAAATTATCCTTGTTTGCAGATGACATGATACTCTACATAGAAGACTCCCTAAACTCCATTGAAAGATTCTTAGATATAATAAATAAATTCAGTAATGTAGCTGGATACAAAATCAATACTCAGAAATCAATAGCATTCCTATACACTAACAATAAAATCACAGAGAGGGAAATAAGAGAAACCACACTCTTCACACTAGCAAGCAAAAAAATCAAATATTTAGGAATTACTCTTATGAAACAAGTGAAAGACCTATACAGGGAAAATTATAGTACACTGAAAAAACAAAATGAAAATGATCTCAGAAAATGGAAAGACATCCCTTGCTCATGAATAGGACGAATAAAAATTGTGAAAATGGCCATTCTCCCAAAACTGTTATACAGATTCAATGCAATCCCAATAAAAATACCACAACATACATTATAAATATAGAGAAATCACTCCTAAAATTCATCTGGAACCAGAAGAGACCTAGAATT